ATTAATAAATAATATATTGTCTAGTAATGTGTATACTTCTTTTTATATTATTTAATAATATAATAAGGGTGTATATATATATATTTAGGGTTTAAATAAGGATTTGAGGTTGATATAGATTTATATTAATATATGAAAGTATTTGTATAATATATAAAACATTTGAATTAAATAAATTTCTTTATATTCTTTGCTTTTGATGTGAAGTCAATTATCTTTTAGCTTTTTCACTCTTTTCTTACTTTTTCGATATATATTTCATTATGTATTTTGATATATATATGCTTTTTTTAATTATATATATAAGTTACCGGGCTTATAATCTGTTGTAGATTATAGGCTAATAATATATAATAAAAGCTAGCTCTAATTAATAACTAAAATAGATTATATAAGCAATATGACATATGATATTAATAAATCTATATTAAATAATAATCTCTCTTTTTCTATATTCAAAAGGAAAAAGACCTCTTTTTATACTTTTTCCTATTAATTTAGCTTTTCCGCTTTTGTTAATCTCTTATAGATCTCTTCCTAATTCATTTATTCTTTCGAAATAAAGCCCCTTTTTGTATTCTTTATTTCATAGCTGTTTTTATATTTTTTATGACCGTTTTCGAATTAATGATTGTTTTCGGATTAATGATCGCTTTCATAAGCTTATAAGCGACGATCATATAATCTAATCATATAATAGGCTAATATTAGATTGAATGCCTTTTAAAAAGATATATATATTATATTATTTTCAATTAAAACAATAGTATAATACCTACCCCCTAGATGTCATACAAACATTGTCGAGAAATATATTAGTAATATCTATATATTCTGAGATTTCTTAATTCTACTTTTAATAAATTTTTAAAAAAATATGGTTTTTATATGAAATATTATTTAGATATTACTAACTAAATAATATTAAGCTTTTTTTTATATAACATTTATCTTTAGATATTATATAAACATTGTCGAGAAGTATATTAGAACCCGAGATTCTGTCTTCTTTAGAGTTCCTCGGAGTCCTGGCTCCTTAATGACCTTCTAGGAGCCCTGGATCCTCCGGACTCAATCACATGACGCTTATCAGGTGACGTTTCTGTTGCGTTGTAACACCTAATTCGACCTAATCTGACCATGGGTCATATCCAGTATCAGGGTGTGGCCATCCAAGGTCCTCTGCAATATCAGACCAACGCAGAATTTCTTTGTCTTCGTCGCCCGAGTCAAAATTGTAACGACTGCTACTGACGCCACCGAGCCTCGCCAGGTGTTTTCTAGCTTGGTCATTTTCCTTTCTTTGCCTCGCTTTCTCTCGTTTCTTCTCTATATGCATCTCCCTGATTTTCGTCGCTTCAACCCAAGTCTGAAATGCTTCTCTGTTGTAGGTACAGAATAATACAACCTCTCTTGTAGCCAAAACATCCTCCAGACAATCATGAATCCCCTCCTTGTTATTTCTGATTTTTACATTGAGAAGTTCAGAGCACAGTGTTTGCAATCCCCATTTAATGCGACGAATTCCAATGGCATTTCTTGACAAGATTCCAGAATCCACAATACGGGGATGAATTATCCGTAAAGCATCTAAATCGTGCTGTAATGCATGACCGACAAGGATTGTCTTATCATCAATATATTTCCACAGTTCCGATCGAGCTTCTTTCCAACCAGACAGTGTTTGTCCTTGTAAGGTCGCATTATCAAGTATGGATTTCGATATACCATGAATTGAAGACCGCATTTGGGTTATCTTCTTGCTCGGACACACCAATTGATTGAGAAGTACTGCGCCAGTAATATAGTCGACAACACAAAGCAAAATGACTTCACTGGCTCCTCCAGCAATCCCTGCCATTTCACAGTCGACTGTCACCGCCCGGAACTTTAGCTCTGCGGATGCAGTTGGTGTTTTTCGAAAGTCTTGATGTATAATCGCTCGTAGAGGTAGTTGGAAGTCGTGTGCTGGTAATGTTTCACAACCTCTTCCCTCCGTCCTGCAACATTTATATGGCCTCTTTTGATTCTGCAGGGGTTTCAAACTATGATTATTTACTGATATTGAAAGCTTTCTGCGGTGACACATACCCATTTATTCCGTTTGTACCGATGAAAGTGGCACTCTAGGCCGATCGCGTTTGTCTCTAAGCCTGTTCCTGATTTAGCTCACTCTCACAAGCAACACTAAGGAACTTACTATTACACCGTGTGCATTTTCGTGAATTGATATAATCAAGCGAATTATATGTATTTAAGATATAACCGTTCTCTTTGAGCTCTATCGGGGAATGACAGTGCGAGGATAACTCATTGAGCACTGCCATATATTCAGACTCTGCAATCGCAGACCAGGGGGACTTCGCAACTTGAAGGTCGGTCTCGATGACAGGCATCATTATATTGGGAGTCATGGGACTGGATGCAGTTATAGTTTGCGCTAAGGTATGGATGTTAAGAGTCTGCTGCGGCTCTGCTGGCTTGACTTTGTTAGTAGCCACTTGCTTCTGCTGTTTGATACTCGGTAGCTTTATTTGTACGGGTTTCTGGACCTGGGGAGGTCTAGGAGTAGACTTCTTCTTGTGTGCAGAGGAGTTCCGGACATGTTGATCAAGATCTTCCTGTACATTAAATAACCTGTTGCATAGTGCACAGTAGACAGACATTTTGTGTGCAGGAGAGTCTCGAATATGTTTATCAAGATCGCTCTGTACTTTGAACGATTTGTTACATAGTGTACAATAGACAGGCATCTTGATTGTAGAGTACAGAGCTGTATAAAGGCATGCGGAGTGTTCTGTTAAAATGATTTTTTGAATAGCAGTTGATGACGAAAATGAAAGCTAAGGAAAGGTTGACACGTTGGAGCGTGAAGCGGGGTAAATTGCCGCTTGACTAAAGAAGGAAATATGATGCGCAAGGGTTACGGTAGGGGCTTACGTTACTCAACAGTTTGATGTCCACGTTGGTAAGGAATCTACGATAATATACAATAACTGATGACTCATCAATAATTAGTACAGTATTATCCGTTCATTCGACCTACCCACCACTGCCTTGATCTACAGCACTTTTGATTTCTCTATCTACTGATACAAACTGGATCTCCAAACATTCCGTAACAATTAGAGACAATGTTTAAAAGTAACATAATATTTGAAATAAGTGGGGTATATAGTAAAACCAGAGTTAGCTAATAAATCGAAAGCTTATTACAACCTCTTTTGATGCTGAAAACTGCTAACTAATTTAGTATGTTGTTCGATATCCCCACAGTCTGTACAATCCTGGTCTAGCGTATACATTGACCCCCAACATCAATCACTTAGAGATTTAAATAGTGTGAAATAGTCGATTTCGTATACAATGATAGTTGAAAAGGAGGCAGTTGGAAACAAGAGTAAAAGGCTTGTAAACGATACATTTCTGTGATGATTAGAAGTTGAGAAAGCAGAAATACAAGAGGAGTATGATCTTCGGTAAAAGCAGTCCGTTTGAATCCAACAGCAAAGTCGGGTTGCGGACGAGGCGTCAGATATGTGAATAGTCCCAACATCTGAAGCATGAAGTGATCCGGTTATGGATCTCAACTTCAACCTCATCCGTGCCGGCGGAGGCCTTTTATCATGTAGTCGCAGATGCTACCGTGCCTATCTCTCGGTGTCGCATCTGCGTATTAGGATTTCCCTGCTACATGTTTCTCCATTCTCGCTAGATACTTTGCTCTCAGTTCTGCTTAGCTTTCTCGTCCGGTGGTATATTGAAGCTGTCAGAAAATGCTTGGTAGTAAGTCAATCAAAACAATACTTCTATCCTAACCCTAAGAGTGTAGAATAAGCGGGCTTATCAAGTGAAGTTATTGGACTGTTGAGAACCCATCAAACTTTTATTTATCTATCAATCAATGCTTGTTACTTTCTGTCTATATATACACAGCTGTATTCTCTGCGTCTATCTCTAGTAATGAGTATTACTACAAAGCAGCAGTCATGCTCTATCAACTTCGCTATAATGTTGATTCTGTTTCTGTTTTGATCCTATTCATATGTTTATTCTTCATCTTGATCAAGTCAGACTTCTAAACCTTCGACACGTGCATCTTCGCTCGCAAATCCTTCCATCCCATTCCCCATGCAAAAACAAAGCAACCAGCAGCCAGCCCTGCCGCCATATAGAAAATGCAATCTATACTCTTGGCATCAGCGTTCAACACACCCTCGAGTTCGTCCCCGGAAAGAAAGCCTCGGAATGCTGTAGCTCCAGCATCAATGACTTTGGTAGCATTGACTCCAGGTGCGTATTGGGGAATCAGAGTTTGAAAACTGTTGCTATATATAGTTTCACCAAGACTGAGAAATAGGGCTGCTCCAAATGATTGACTGAATGTGACGAGTGCCATAGCAAGGGGGATAGTTTTGGGTGGCACGGTTTTCTGAACCGAGAGGATCGGCTGTCAGAGTAATGATGTTAGTAGGTGGCACGACTATCATGGGTAGGGAGTTCGAGTATACCATTTGAATTCCAAGACCGCGGCCGACTCCGTAGAGAATCTGGTATCCAAGCCATTTTCCAACCGAAGTGTGAGGTGTGAAGGTACCAAAAAGGCCACAACCGACTGATAACAAGACTGAGGAGAAAAGAGCTATCGGTATAGTGTAGCCTACTATGCCGACTATTAAAGCATTAGTAAACGCACGAAATAGGGAGAAACTTTCTTACCAATAGGTCCTGAAGCCAGAGCAGCGAAGACATGAGCAATAATCATTGCCAGAAGATAGATACCGCTTTTGGTTGGAGAAACGCCCTTAACTCCCTGAAAGTACTCTGGTACCCAGTAAGAAGCAAGGTATAAGTTACTCATCATCAATCCATATACTATACAACTCGTCCAAACGGTTTTCATGCAGGCGATCGATATCGGAATCAGAGCTTCATCGCCTTTATAGTAATTCCAGGCTAGGAAAACAATGAATGTGACCCCAGAACCAACAAAGAGGCCGACGATCCGAGAATTGTTCCAAGGATATATGGTACCACCGTACTGACAGGCAAGTAGCAGCATAATTAAGGCGCTAGAGAAGATGGAAAATCCTAAAAGATCGAGGTGTGTATGTAATGATCGAAAGACGGACATTGGAAGAGGTCTAGGGTGTTGTTGGGGGATGCGGACAAAGCCTATTAGTGCAACCACCAAAGCACCAATGGGAAGATTGATATAGAAACCTAGTAAATTCAGCAGTCTCTATGGGCAATAGTATACAGAGAGTAGAGAAGTGAGGAGGAAACCTACACCATCTCCAAGTGATGAATTCAGTGAACAAGCCACCTAATAATGGACCGCTAGCTAGACCAAGTTGCCCAACTGAAGAAAAATCAGTATATGGTATCATTTCGGATAGTAGTGGACTTACGACCCATTACAATTCCAGTTAGAGCTATAAGCATCATCAGTTCATGAGTCACATATGTTCAGGAAGACATCGAAACATACTTGGTCTTTTCTCCATAGGAGCGCTTTCCGCAATAATAATCAGGGATCCATTGAACATTCCAGAAGCTCCTGCGCCAGCAACTACTCTTCCTCCAATCAACATAGGCGAAGACCTCGCAACCCCGCAAAGTAAGGAGCCGATTTCAAATATGATGAAGAATACGAGGAAGGTCCACTAAATTCGACCATTAGTAAGTTGGAATTCAAGAAAAGGGAGGCGATGGGAAACCTAACATACCTTGGGCTTAAACTTCATGTATATCTTTCCAGTAAGTAGTTGAAAGACTGTACTGCAAGTATCTCATATCAGTCTCGTCTATAATTATAGTACAGTAACCATGCACAGCTGTTTGCTGAAACGCGAAAAACACATTAATTCAGTTTATTCTTTCTTATTACAATTAATTGATTTATTTAATTATATTACTACAATGTATTCCCTTAAATCAAATCAATTATAATAATATATCTTATATTCATTTTAATTTATATATATATAGAAAAATAGTAGGAAAAATAAAAGTAAATGTATAGCCCACTACTATTATAAGAAAACTTAGAATCTCCTTAATTACTGTTTTTTATACTATCAAAATGAATGTAATATATAATAATAAAATTATTTTATTTAAAGTTACTAAAAATAGATTATATATGAATAAAAACAAACAAATATTATTACAATATACAAAATTATAATCTAAATTGATTTATTAGGAGATATTAATAGTTTATAAACTTGAATATAAAAGGGATATTATTAAAAGGATTTTTAAAAAGTATAGTATAATTAATTAAAGAACTAAAAAGAGATTTGAATTTATGGAAGAATATACTATTAAAAGGCTAGTTTAATATTTAGTCTATTAAAAGTAGATAATAAAGAAATAAGGCTTAATATTCTAATTAAATAAATACTTTATAAAATAAAAAAAAGGAAAAAAGTAGAAATAGATTTTCTATATTTTAAAATAGAAATAGGAATAAGAAATAATTTAAATCTATAGTATATATAAGAATATAAAGATTATAATATAAAAAGACTTTTGTAATATTAAAAAAAATAAGTTATATATTATAAATAAGGATTTCGAAAATAAAAAGTTCGAATATAATATCAATTCTTATTTCAAGATTTTTAATAGAAAAATAGTTTTTATTTAAAAAGGATTAAATGAGGGGTATCAATTTATATAGAATAATGTTTCTATATATCAAACAATTAAAATATTAGATTAATTCAAAGTCAGGGATATTTCTTTAATTAATCTTTAGTTTTCTTATAATTCTGATCTCAATCTTATTAAGTACATTTGATAGTATCTAAAAGTATATATTTTTGAAATGTTTTTAGATATTGTAATAAACAAAAGCAAATTAGAATATATTAGATAAAGGCTAAAAATTACATTACAAATAGCTTGGGATATATTAAATAATCAATTATTTATAAATTTAGGAGTTAATATAAGAAATAAAATAAAGACTTATATTATAGCAAATAATTAATATACTAAATATTGAAAGCTTAAACTATAGAATTATTATATAAATTAGTAATATTATTAAATATATATATATCAAAACATTCTGAAAATTTAATAATAAAATATTGAAAAATTGATTTAATAATTAGGATTGAATGAGGGGGTAGTATTGATGGATTCCTGGGTAAAATCCGGCCGACGAATAGCTATGCCCTAGTACTGTATATAATTCAGAGCTTGCATCTTTTACGCACCTTCCCAGCTGATAAGCAGCTCCATATCATCCAATATCGTTTAGGGAATGAAACTCATCAGTAATGTGAGGAACAGCAGCGACAATAATAGTCCTATCGAGTAGCATGAGAAAGACAACTAGAGTCACGGCGACCATGATGACCCAAAGTTGAAGGCCATGAGCCCATACTGGTTCTGGGCTTTCATCTTTGGCGGGAAATACGCTAGTGAGTTCTTTCGTTTCTGGGCTTTGGTTGCCATCAAGTTCACCATCTAGCTTCGTATCTTGACTCGAAGACGTCAATGTTGGATCATTGTCCATCTTTTCTGACAGTCGCGCATCCGACGCTTGGTGCGATGGAGCTTCTGTTGGAGGCTCTCTCAATGCCATTTTTGCTCTTTGAAGTTTCAGAGTGACTGGTAGCGTCTAGAGAGATAGGGAAAGAAGAAAAAGAGTATAAGAGTCGGGTTGAGCTTTATGGTAGAAAAATCACTGATAAACTGTCAGCTTATTGTTTTGATTAACAATTATCACCCTGTTGCAATTGCAGATCGCTAGTCGGTTAGTCATGTACGGCATAACGTTACAGCGTCGGAGGCTCCTAGGTGAATCACATTCCAGAGATTCTCAATTAGCCAGGTCACGGGGTGTAATCATGCATGTACTCACCTAGAGGATCGGATTATGTTCCCCCGGCCCATATCACATCTACACACCCCAGAATTGAGAAACTTTTCATCGAAAAATGCACTTTTTATCGCGTTTTGTTAATCAATCTATCGGTTTAATCACTTGTTGAACTCAAACACGATGATTTTGAGCATCGGCAGGCGCCGTGCGGACGCGATTCGCCCCCATGCCTCCCACTCTCTCGATCCCCGGAATGGCCTCCAAGGCCGCTCCCTCCCCCTCTCAAGCTCTGACCAATACAGTTGATGCTGCTATTAACAGAGTAAATGAAGGCCAACAGATTTTTGGCCCTATTTCTTCATCGTGAGACGATTATCTCGATACCGAAGCAATCCGAGCCCTCCCCATCCGGCTCCGTAAACCCTTTATCGCGTTATACACCGACATATCTGCGATAGCGAATAAACACTTTGATTCATATATTAATGGATCATATGTTTTATACGAGAGTGAAGTTGGCATAATTAGTGTTGATGAGTTAGAGTAGAAGTGAATTGGTTAAAGGGCCAGACTAATATAGTACACTTCTTAGTGTAAATTAGAATCGAGCTTTGAAGCTTGTCATTAAATATGACAGAAAAGAACACTTGGATCTTGTTCCGGTGAATTCGTGTATTTCACGTGAATCATTGTCCTGAGCACCCCATAAAAGCATATCTGATCGATCACGTTAATCATTGAGTCGGAGCTCATAGAGCTCAAAGTTCGGAAAACTCTTGGCCCGTTCCGACGTTCCCCTGAAACTCACCCAACTCATTCCCACGTTAGCCTGTAACTCTACTATTGATGTTAGTCCTAGTATGCTAATTTATATTTTTTTACAGATTTATAGAGAAAAAAAACGCGGATTAGAAAGTAAGAGTTAGAAAAAGTAATTCTCGTTTTTTCTTTCAAAAAATTTGTTCTTTTTATAGGCGATTATAGATTTATATAGTCTAAAGCTTTATATTACGAAGATAACTAATGTGATTCATATGCGAGTGGATCATATCACCAAGTGAATCACTTTCATCTTAATTGATATATTCAAATTCATATTATTCAATTATTATTAAATCAATTAATTAAAACTATTAAAAATCTAATAATCTAGGGTTTATTTTATTATTTTAATAGATTCTTATATTATACCTTATTAATCTATATTTATTATAATATTAATTAAAGGATGCTTTTGTATTAGAATTTTCTTTATTTTAATATTTATTGTATTGAATTTGAATATTAATCTTTTATTGAAATAATATATCTATAGCTTTCTATTTAATAAATATTTCTTCTTGATATAATTGAATCTTTTTGTGTGTCAATATTTGCTTAATACTTTATTTGCTTTTCAAAGTATATGAATTTTTATATTTAAAAGTATATTCTTATAAGCTAATCTCTTTATATCTTTAGCTAAAGTTGATATAATTTCGAATATAAATATAGAGAAGCTTAATTGATAATAAATTATTCGAGATTTAATTAATGTTAATTGAAAAAGAGTTTTTATAGGATTATAAGGTGTTTGAGAGATTTAGAAATCTAAATCAAAAGGAGGGGGGTAGGTGTATAGATTCAAATATTCAATTTAGAAAGTATTGCTTTAGAATTAAATAGGATTAATCTAGTTTTTCTAAATCTGGTTTTTATATTTCGATTTATAATTGATCTTTTATATGTAGTTTTGAAAGCTATAAAGAATTCGATCTTTGAAATATAGTTGATATAAGCTTTTATAAAACCCTCAATTTGAGTACTATATTCTCGTTTTAAGATACTAAAATAGTTTATATTAAGATATTGAATTAAATAACTTGAATATATTAGTAAATATATATATTTAATATTATTCTCCTTATAATAAGTCTAGAATAATATTGATTCATAGCTTTTATACCTATCCAATACTAATATTCTATATCAATCTTTAATTTGATTTTTTATATATTTATTAAAATGTTTCAATTATTCTAAGCTTATCTCATTATTTGTTTATCTATTATTTATAGATTTGATAATTTAATCTATAGGAAGATTAATCTCTATATATTAATTTGAAAAATATATTTATTCTTGTATTATTAGAAATAGAGATATAATTTCTTTTATACTATTTCTATATATAATCACTATTACTCATTCTCGATTACCTAATTATATAATCTTACTTTTACTAAATCTCTTAAAGCTAGTAATAATTATATCAATATTTATAATCCCTATTATAAAGCCTGTTTTATCGAAATTCTATAAATCACAATTGAGAATTATTGTTTTAATTAAAAATAATATAATATATATATCTTTTTAAAAAGGTATTCAATCTAATATTAGCTTATTTATATAATCAGATTATATGATCGTCGCTTATAAGCTTACGAAAACAACCATTAATCCGAAAACAATCATCAATTCGAAAACGGCCATAAAATACGAAAACGGCCATAAAATACGAAAACGGTTATAAAATAAAGAAAACAAAAAGGGGCTTTATTTTGAAAAAATAAACAGATTAAAAAGAGATCTACAAGAGATTAATGAAAGCGGAAAAGCTAAATTAATAGGAAAAAGTATAAAAAAAGATCTTTTTCCTTTTGAATATAAAATAAAAGAAATCATTATTTAATATAGATTCTTTAATATCATGTGTTACACTGTTTATATAATCCATTTTAGTTATTAACCAGAGTCAGCTTTTATATTATATATTATTAGCTTATAACCTATAATAGATTATGAACCCGGTAACTTATATATACAACTAAAAAGAAATATATACATATCGAAATATGCATCGAAAAAGCAAGAAAAGAGTAAAAAAGCCGAAAAACAATCGATTTCACATCTAAAAGTGAAGAATATGAAGAAATTCATTCAATCAAGATACTTTATATGTTATATAAGTGATTTTATATGCTAATACAAAAAAATATCAACCTCAAATTCTTATTCAAATTCTAAGAATATATATATATATTTATATATATATATAATATCTTTGTTGTATTATTAGGTAATATAAAAAGGAGTACATATGTTATTGGATGTATATATTATTAATATTATATGTTATTGGGTGTAAATAATATCAATATTATATATTACCAGATATATAATAGTTCTTTCACTATATATCACTGGGAGTAGTAGAATTGAATATTATATCTCATTGGAGATATAAAAGCTAATTATTGTTTATATATGAACCTTTGTTGATCTTTATATATATTTACGAATTATATATATATTATCAACCCTATGATATATATGAAATTAGTTGAAGATTTTTTTGATTGGATAATAAAAAGATATAAAAGAATGTTAAATAATAGGGAATACAATATAATTCAATATGAAAAAAGAAGAGAAAGATATATAAATAATTTATATTACTTTATCATATATTCAATAAGGATTAAATACTATCTAATAGTTTAAGGAATTTAAAGCTAAGCTTAATTAGATTCATTAGATATATCAGATTCTAATTATAGTTTAATTATATATTATAATATTGATTTAGAAGTTATTAATAGGAATTCCAATCTTATTTTTGAAGAAGCCTAAAATCCGATCTATATTCAAAGTACTATTATAAAGAAAGAACTAAATACGAATCCGAATCTAATTCAAATCGAAAATCAAAATATCAATTTAATATTCAGATTAGCAAGAAAAGAAGCCAATTAATTAAAATTATATCAAATCCTTATATATGAAAGTATATTGTATATTACAATATAAATTATATATTATATGAATCTTATAAACCAGAATATATTTACAAGAATTATTAAAAGATTCAAAAAGAGATTAAATAATAGGGAATACGAAGTGATTTAATACAAAAACAAAAAAGAAATCTATAATAATAATAATTTTATTATTAAAATAGAATTTCGAATAATAGTTAAATATTATCCAAAAGCACAAGAAAACAAAACTCAAGCTGAATTAGATTAATTAGATATTGAAAACTCAATATATAATATTTCTATATTATATAATTATAATATAAAAACTATTATATTAAACTTTATGCAATAAAACGCTTAATCCCCTATTTATATAAGGAATACTATTATATATTCAAAAATAGATGTGAATATTAATCTCTTCAATCTTGAATTTGAAAATATTAATTTAATAAATAATATAATTAATAAAAAATTAGATTATTTAGACAGATATCAAATTCCTTATAATTATACATTTACATCAAGAAATATAAATCAATAAATTTATATATATATCTCTTTATATTAATATATATATAAATATATTATTTATTAATATATTAAGCTTTTTTAACCTATTATTAATCTATATCCCTAAGACTAAATCTAATTGAAAAATAAAATTAGATCCCTAAAAGCTATATATATATGTATATATCATCTATAGTAGATTGTATAGTATTATATTTTATATAAAGATGCTCTAGCTTGAATAAATCTATATATAAGGATTTATATAAGTTTATATCAAGAGGTGGTAGCTAAAATCTAATTATTTCTCGAAATAAAGCTTTATAAAAACTATATTAAGATTCTGATTATATAGTACTTATTATACTATAATAAAATATTTATATATAACGTAACTTATAGTGAACCAGATCATATGGGGAATTGGGTCAGATACCTTTACACCAAAATTTGTATGTAAAGGTACTTAGAGCGATTTTTTATAACTCTATAAATACTAGAAAT